GGTAGCTATAGCTTAATTCCACAGAGCCAGGCCTGCAACTCAGTGAGTGCAAAAAGGGGACCGCAGTTATTTGTGGGTACAAGAACTGTTCCTGCATAAACAGAGGCGGGGGCTGAAAACCCGGCCTTTAACTTAACAGCTTTAGCAGAAACGATGGAGAACCGGGGTTCAGAGTTTAGAAAATAGCACACTGATCCCTGAGGAAGTCCAGATGATGTTCCACTTAACGGTCCTCTAAGTTCTTCCAAGGGCCATGTCTCACAAGCGAGAAACTGCCCTTTTCAGCCTATCAGCCCCACTCCTTAACAACCCTGTCCTCCTTGGGCAGGTGATATGTTGGACTCTCCACCCAGTAGCCTAAGCCCTGCCCACCCTGGGAGCAGACATCACAGGATACAGAACCCACCAAAGATGGGGTGGGCTCTGGAGTGGCCATGGGGATAGCACATTCACCTAGAGAGCACAGGGTGGTGGGTTCAAGTCCTGGGAGCAGCTAGACAGCCAACGTAGGCTACCCCAGGGAGGGACCAGGTTCTTGCATTAGGAAGGCAGGATAAGGGACCTCCCCAAAAGCAGGGGAGAGAGATCCTGGAGTGGCCTAGGGCAGTGCCCCGCAACCCCCAGGGGCTCTCAAGAGAAGCCTGGAGATACAGCAACACAACTGAAATTTGGAGAAATCTTAATCAGGTGGAGGGATCCCTGCTGATCTAAACCAGGAGCACCTAGTGCCTGAGTCCCACTACCTCCATCACTCATGGCCCTTGAGTCCCGGGTGGGGAGGGACACGGAGACTATTTTAGAGGAGCGATGTGAAAGGAACAGCAATAGAGCAAGGAGGAACAAACCTCATAAGCCATACACACTTTTCATCTGATCCCATCTGCAGCTAGACTGGAAGCCACAGAAGGGCCTAGTATCTGGGCATGTCCAGCCTGGGAGACCCCTGAAATTGCCGGAATTTCGGCTCTCATAGATTCTTGTCACCCACCAGATTGTGTTCATTGCCTGATTGCCTGCGGCGGGGCAAAGGGACAAAGACGTGACTGCGGCAGCAACACGAGGAGACTGGCCACAAAATGCTGCGGACGGCCACGAAACTCTCCCGTTGGTCTCGGGTCACTCGGTTGCTCTTGTGTAACCTGATGGCGGTGAAAGAAACTGCTCAAGTCGCTTTTGAAAGACACTCAATGGCGAGGTCTTGAAGTGCCTGGGCTTGACAATGGGTTGCCTCCATGAGGCCTCGAAGTACAGATGGAAGGCAGCTTGCTCAGGTGCCATGCTGCGGACGGCCACGAAACTCTCCCGTTGGTCTCGGGTCACTCGGTTGCTCTTGTGTAACCTGATGGCGGTGAAAGAAACTGCTCAAGTCGCTTTTGAAAGACACTCAATGGCGAGGTCTTGAAGTGCCTGGGCTTGACAATGGGTTGCCTCCATGAGGCCTCGAAGTACAGATGGAAGGCAGCTTGCTCAGGTGCCAGGCTGTCAGTTGGATTAAAATGACTCATTTATTTACCAAAGAACCTCACAAAGTGCTCTCGCTAACAGGGAGAGAGGGCCTAACAGCTCTCCAAGCTGGGGAAGGAGCTCTCGTGCCTACCCGGCCTGCCAAAAGTCATTACTGCCGAGTGTGGAAAGCCATCAGCAGGGTAGAGACCCCCACCGGCAGGGTGACAGATTGGGCTGCGTAATCAGAGGAGGAAGGAGAGAGCACAGAAGCTGTCAGAGGCGAAAGCTCTTGGCTGTGGCCGCCAGAAAACTGGCAAGATGAGTTAGCGTGACTGAATAAACAGCAAACAATCTCCAAATGATCTTTCCCCTCTCCCTGGAAGAGATGAACTTGTTTAAAAGGCACATCCCCAAGGAAGCGCCGCAGAACTTGAGCGGCAGAAAACCCTAGGAGAGTCGCAGCCTTTCTATTCTTTGTTTGCCAGCCTCCTTTGCATGGGAAGAAAAAAAAAAAAAAAAAAAAATTGTTATATTATATAAATAATGAAAGAAACAAAGCATCCCAAGGACAGCCACAGTGGAAAGATGAGTGTGAGAGATGCCAGAGTCAGAGCGAAATAGGAAGGAAGAGGGTTTTTTATTTTCCACGGCGCTCAGTTAAGTAACAGAAGCCTGTGTTTAGTGAGCAAGGCCTGGGACTTTGTGGGTACAAAGCACGTCGATGGCTTTGTAGTAAAAGGGCTGAGAATTCCTCCCATGTGAAACATTTTCACTGCTAGTCAGGGAATGACAACTGTATAGAAGTGACTGGTTGACAGACAGAGCGACTAACTAGTCAGCAAAAGGCAGGCACTTTTCCTGGCTGCCTTGTGGACATTCCTGTCAGGTAGCACCTGCAGTTTGGGACCAGTGCTCAAGGTCTCGCCCTACAGAGTTTATATGGCCCCTATTTCTGTAATATCTGAGCCCTCATCATCTTTACCATATTTCTCGTCACAACATCCCTGTGAGGCAGGACTGAGCTATGACCATTTCCAGACGGAGTAGAGGGACACAGAGACAAAGAGCTTGTCTATGCAAACTCTTAGTTTGTGGGGTGTCACTTGACCCTACACTAGTCCACCACATTCTAAGGAGCCAATCGGAGCCCACTACTGCTACATACTGAATGTTCCTTCATGTGCTGTAATCAACTCCCGTTTGGCATTGAGGTAGGTCAAAGCGCACTAGAGAACCGTTAGTGTGACACAGTGGCATCCATGGGGACAGCTAGGGTAGCTTTATACCCTGGCTTGCCACAGACAAGCTGACTGTGTCATTCCCAGGGTCGCCATAGACAGGCTGTAGTAGAACAGGGAACAGAATCCATGTTTCCAGAGACCCAGGCTAGCGACCAAACCACTGCAGTATCTTCCTTTCTGTTCCCTTTCACCCTATTTATCTTCCATCTGTCCTGACCCTGCTCCCAAGAGCCCTGTGGCTTGTAAAGGGGCTCGTGGTAGGCGGAGTCTCCTCTCCCAATGCCGCTTCCTGTTGAACTGTCTCTTCCAGGAGCACGTGCCTGGCAAATTGCCTGATCTCATCTCTTTGTCCAAGGCTTACTCTCCGCCCTCTACTTCAACCTTGGCTAGATGATAACGGAATCCTCCTGGCCTCTCCCGTCCCACTCACCCCTGTTGCAGCTGGAGCCTGTGAGCCCAAGGAACCAACACCAACTTCCCAGAGGTTTATAAATGGTCCATGCCGAATATAAATAAACTTAACTAAAGTTGGCCAGCTCAGAGACATACTCCTGCAGCTGCTAGACATGTCTTGAGACAAAGTGCATAGGCCAAGGGACAAAACAGGGCACAAAACAAGGAACCGTGACGCCTATACCTAGATGAGCATGGAGCACACCTAGAAAGCCACAGGCTCTTTTAAGGAAGCAGAAAGCTTTATCCACCACTAACTGTTGTGCCCTCGCGTGATCCAGTACTGCCTCCAGTATGCAGTGCAGTTCTTAGCTGTCGAGAACCCCCCCATTAAAACCATATCTCAATGATTAGCAGTAGGTAGGGTGTTAAGCCACCAACCTTCCATTCCTGCAGATTCTGGGTTCCAAGTCTGCATGAAGTTCCAAGTGACAAAAGAATTCTCAACCCAGTTCTGTGTGCCACATGGTCATTTGCCCACAATCTGATCTGACCAGTCCAAAAGAAGTGGGAATGTATTGAAATTCAGGAAGGAGGCGCATTTGCACAGCTGCACCACGTTCATTCTAATGCTCCCTCCCTTTGTCGGTGGTCCTTAAGATGGATCTAAATTTGTGCACTGATGGGGGAGGGAGGATCCAAAACGACAGATTCCGATAACTTTGAACTTAAGCCCCACAGAAAAGCCAATGTGTTTACGTTCCATCTGCACTTCTGCAGAAAAATGGAGCAATGTGGTTTCTGCTTTGTAAACTGGGGTTGGCTTGTAATTACACAGTAATGGGTTACTTCCCTGAAAATGCTTTTAATATGTAGCCCATGCGCAGATTCTAGTAAATAACAGTTGCATAGTATTGAGCATTCCTTAGTATTCCTTTCAAAGCATTTTGCAAACATCAGTGAATTAATAAGATTTACAGTCCTCTTCATGTCTTCAGGGGAAACCGAGGCACAGTGACTTAGTCAAGGTCAAGCAGGAAACAGAATTGGCTCCTCTGGCCAGGACTATCATCAGATAGGCACATTTTGCAGGTGTCATAATAAGCAACACTCTAAGTCAAAGGCTCCTCTATACAGGCTTGGTAATCCCAGTGCAAACTGTGGCTTTTGCATACAATACAATAAACTACAACTCCTCCCCCAGACCTGCCACCTTTTTCCTTTAAGAACAATGTGTCAGAGCAACGAGAGTAATTTCAGAGCTGGAGACGGTTTCTCAGCTCTAATTACTCCCGATAGCTGTAATTTACAAGTTTGCCGTGTGTCGAAATCACCAAGATTCACACGTTTGCAGATCAACAGCTGCCACTATTAGAGAGCAAATCGTGCAACCTTCTGCACCATTGCAGCAGGCTAGCTGAGGCACCAACGGGTCAGAAACTAGAAGCGGAAGGTGCCACATTGACACAAGGGTGCCAGCAAACTTCAGGAGAGCATGGCAATTTCCCTCCCCACCCTTGAAAGAAGCTTGAAGGGCAAGCCATGGAGAGCAACAAAGCAAAAACACATCTATAACGAAGGAGTCCTCTGGTTGGGCTTCCCTTTAATCCCTGCTTGTCCGTGTCTTTAACCTTGGGATAATCGTCAAGTCGGGACAGCTTTTACTGCATATGTAGGGCAAGTTGCCACAAATAGACACACTATCCAAGACATGCAGGAACTGAGATACTATAGAGGGTGCTTTCCATCCAAGGATCAGAAAGCAATTAACAAAGAGCAGATAAATGTCGTTCCCCCTAAGGAATCAGGATTAGATCAAGGTCTCCTATCCCCAAGTCATCTGCTCTAACCAGTAGACAATACTCCCTCCCAGATCAAGACCCATATATTCTTTTGCATGTTACATTCTAAGTTACCTACAGTGCACAGTAAGGTGCCCGTCTTGCATTGTAAGAACTTCTGGAACACCTCTGTCCTTTCCTAGAGGATAAAAGAAACAAAACACATGTTTAGGACAAGAAGCAATGGGTTTCAACTGCAGCAAGGGAGGTTTAGGTTGGACATTAGGAAAAAACTTCCTAGCTGTCAGGGTGGTTAAACACTTAAATAAGTTGCCTAGGGAGGTTGTGGAATCTCCATCATTGGAGATATTTAAGAGCAGGTTAGACAGACACCTATCAGGAGGTGCTTGATCCTGCTGTGAGGGCAGAGGACTGGACTTGATGTTCTCTCAAGGTCCCTTCCAGGTCTAGTACTCTAGGATTCTATAATTCTATACCCTGCTTTAAAGCAAGTCAATAAAATAAGAGTTTAAATCTGAACCCTTTTCATCTTCCATGATGTTTGTCCAGCTTTGAGAAGTGGGTGGAATTCTGTGGCTCCATCCCAGCAGTTCAGGAGATCTAGAAGTGAAAAATCTATGGCAATAGTGGAGTCACCATATGCCGTCCAGGCTATCACATCACCAAGGGAAGGTGCAGTGTCTGGAGCTGACCCAAAGGCATATGCCCAACTCAAGATGATCAACATCCCAAGGGCTTGTAAAGATGCAGGAGGCTGATGTTCGTAGGCTGAACAGGATCACCTGTACCTGTGCAAAAAGCCTCTAAAGACGGAAAGAGTATCTTATGTTGGATTAGAGGGAGGTAGGCAGGCCTGGTCGCTGGCTTAGAAAATCTGTTTGGGAGAATCAATTCGGTTCCCCCTAGTGGTCAAGTGAGGTTAAAACACCGCAACGGTGAAAAATCACTGCTTTCTCCTCCCAGTCCATGCAGCGCACGCATATTTGCGGGGAGACGGGTTCAATATTAGAATCATCTGCTGCTGAGATGAATGAAACATTTTCTCTAACTCCCTCCAAAGTGAGACCACCCCTGCCGTTCCCCCATCAGCACCCTTAAAAACCTAGTGCATTTTAAGTCCCGGCTCGATAAAGCCCTGGCTGGGTTGATTTAGACTCATAGACCTTAAGGTCAGAAGGGACCATTATGATCATCTAGTCTGACCCCCTGCACAGTGCAGGCCACAAAATCTCACCCACCCCTCCTAGAATAATCCTCTCACCTAGATCTCAGATATTGAAGCCTTCAAATACTTTGAAGACCCCAAGATGCAGAGAATCCTCTAGCTGTGATCTGTGCCCCATGCTACAGAGGAAGGCGAAAAACCTCCAGGGCCTCTGCCAATCTACCCTGGAGGAAAATTCCTTCCCGACCCCAAATATGGCGATCAGCTAAACTCTGAGCATGTGGGCAAGACTCATCAGCCAGACACCCAGAAAGTTCTCTATAGTAACTCCTATCATCCCTCCATTGAGCTATTTCCCACTGATAATGAATGGTCAATTAGTTACCAAGATCATGTTATCTCATCAAACCATCCCCTTCATAAACCCATCTAGTTTAATCTTGAAACCAGATAGATCTTTTGCCCCCACTACTTCCCTTGGAAGGCCATTCCAGAACTTCACTCCTCTAATGGTTACTCCTCTGATTTAGTTGGGTTGGTCCTGCTTTGGGCAGAGGGTTGGACTCGATGACTCCTGAGGTCTCTTCCAGCCCTAGGATTCTATCTTAGCCTTGTCACCCAGTCCTGGGCCTTATAAACTGAATTCTCATCAGAAACGTCTCTAACCAAACTTGCAGTCTGGACTCATCTGACAGCAACTCCCACAGCTCTGCCCATGCACCTCCATCATCTGTTGCTGGTTTAGTCCCAGGACTGGACACTACTCCACACATTCCCTTCCACCTCTTCCTGCAGAACCTCTTGCTATTCCAGGCCTGGGACTTTCCTGAACAGATGCTGTTCATTGCCTTCAATCACTTGGCATTTTCTTGTGAAATACACAGGGCCCTGGGACTTTCCTGAACAGACACTGTTCATTGCCTCCAATCACTTGGCATTTTCTTGTGAAATACACAGGGACTTTGCCTTGCGTCACCCCTATCAAACCCACGTGAGGCAATCCTTGAACCCAGGGCTCCAGAGGCAAAAGGCTAATGCGTCAATTTACTGCACCACCTGGTCTCCGTACACATCCCAATTGTCAGTGTACACGTCCCAGTTGACTTTCCTGATTTGTCTTCGATCTCACCCTTTCCATTTCTCTAGCTCAGGCTGCCTCTAGCCTTAAGAATATCACCCTGCTCTTTGGTATCTCTTTCCCAGAGTTTCTTCTCCCTAGTAATCCTTGCCCTCATGCTCCAACTTGGATCGCTATGAATATAGGTCTATTTCAAGCGGAGGGCTAGATGAAAGAGCTGTCTATGGAATCTTTACCCATTTGGCCTCCAGCTGGAAACACCATTCTGAGCTGAGGAAGGAGAACAGCAGCCTAAGCCGCCCCGACAGGCCCAACCTCTCCCAACGAAAATGAAAGCAAAGGACACGTTGCATCTTGTTGACACTGACAGCAGCCGTGCTCAGCAGTACCATATGGGATCCACAATTTAGCTCCATTAATGCTCTTAATTTGAAGACATCAAGCACTAATTACACACTGGGTACTAAAAAGGCAAAACCCTTCCCTTGATGCCAGCTACTTAGTGGCGTTCTGTTGCCTTAACAGCTGGTCAGGGTAGAGCCGGACCAGACAAGGCCTGCTCGCTCGCAGGCGGGCAAGGCTGAGGGAAGGCCAGAACGCAGGGCTGTGAAGCACGTGTTCCTGGTCTTGGCAGGGTGGGATTGAGTGAGAAAAACAACGGCTCTTCACCTCTTGCCTCATCAAATGAGCACTGCTCATTTGCCATCTCGGCCCGGCTGCTCCGGGCAGGGCAGGGCCTCTCCCCGTGGGAGATGGGCAGGGAGAAGGCTGCTGACTTTACCAAGATAATGGCTCGTGTGTTTCACTCTCCTACTAAGAGAGAATGAACACTCACAGCAGAGGCTGACACTCTGCTCCTGGCCTCTGGCTTCCTTCTGGATCAAATCCCATTCTAATCAGCCGGTCAGCCAGGCCCTGCGTGTCCAACACCAACACACCACTCATTCCGGTTAGGTGACCTTTTTGCTGTAATACAATCCCCTGCCAGACAACTCCCTCCCATGGGACTGTTCTTTGCAGCCAAAGCCAGGCTGCTCTCTTCCATAATAATGGGGCCAGCATCTTGTTAGCTGATACTAGCTGACCGAGTCCTAATGTTATAAGATTATTTCCTTTGCTAGTCAAAGCACTTGCTTGCCTACCGCGGAGAGCTGAAAAGGCAAGTACACAAAGGGGCAACGATTTGAGTTTGTCCATTGGGGAACAGAGTGTGACGGCACCAGCACGCTTGAAACAACCAAACAGCCTTTCTCTAAGCCTTGCGCGCTTTTCGTATTCATCCCCCAAAGTCGCATAACAGAGCACAGGAAGAATCCAGAACTGAAGGCAGGTCTCCAGACTTCCATACCTGTGCCCTACCTGCTGGACCATGTTGCCACGCTTAAAAGGGCTTGTGAGGCAGTGAGTAGGGCATGGCAGTGCAGGGGCTATACAAGGCCTTTTTGCCCAATTCGCCACGCCCCGTTTTACCTGCAGCCAATTCCAGGTCTGGAGGGAGAATAAAAGGAGGGAGCCTAACTCAAGGAACTGGAGGGAATCCGTTAGGGCCTGGCCAGCAGAGGCAGGAGCTGGTTCTGCCATCTGCAGGACTTGAGCCAGAGCTATCTCTTGGGTTGGCCACAGGAGGACGCAAGCCTCCAACACAAAGGGGGAGAACCAGAAGGAAACCCCACCGAGGAGGGGGAAATTGGACTCTTAGGGCCACGCCCCAAACTGAAGGAACAGACTCTGGTAAGCAGCCAGAAGTCCTACACCTCAGGCCCCCAGCTAACACCAGGACTTAACCACTAGGCCACCCCGTTGCCTGGGAAACCTGGCCACAGGGCTGACCAGGGCTGGAATTGGAAAAAGAGAGGGAGGAAGAGGAAGTTTCAACTGCAAAACAGCATCTGAAAAGCTCTTCACTGGTTTTCTGTTCATACCCTATGACCCCAGGGGTATAAAGAACCCATAACGTGTCTAGATGTGCAGCTGCACAGATTCAACAGGACAGTCAGAGGCAAACTTCCAGTCCTTGCACTCTGGACCAGAGACGGTGATGATACTCACCTGCTTTGTAAAGAGCTTTGAGAGCCACAGCTCAAAGGAGCTATGTAGAAGCGAGGTATTGGTATTATTATAATGTACCATGTTTTCCCCCCCAATCACGTACTTGGAAGGTGGCCATGGAACAAAACAGAGGATGTGGAATACTTTTCCTTTGGGGTAGGAGATTAGTGTGGAGGGGCAAATGAGGACACGTCTCGGTGGTACTCACCTCCTGTTCCATGTTGCCGTGTAGTCGCAAGAACTTTACGTGTGAAGAGGGGTGTGGCAAACGCTCAGGCTCTTTAGCCTCTTGGCCTCCCAGCAGGACTTTTAGGAGGAGCTGGTAGTGGAATTCCACTTGCTCACAGCTGGAGAAAAAAATGATCATCTTGTGGTGTTTTTCAAACTGCAAAGGGAACAAGAACAGGCATAAAGACATGTTTATAAGCCTCTGGCCACTCTCTGATCCCCTAAAGGCCAAATGACCTTAATTTCTAATGCAGCCGAAAACAGACAAATTAAAAATGTTGGCAGATAAACTGTCTGCTAAAAACAAAAGTTCATATCCTACATCCTGGAGCCTCCTTCCACCTCTGGCCCGGTGACAGAGGAGAATGCCTCTCATTGGGCTCCTGCACACTCCACTGGCACTTAACTCACATGAATACAGATCAAAGTCTTAAGCCTTCACTCTGTGGAAGATTGACACTGCTGCAATTGATCTTTCAGAGTTTGATTTAGCCTGTCTAGTTAAGGCTCTCTAAATCAAACTCAGAGAGCACCCCTGCCAGTGGCCAGTACTCCTGCTCTTGCAAGTAGTAAGGGAAGCTCACAGGAGCATTTGCCCTTATCGGCCTCCTGTTTTGGTTATGGCACTAAACTTGGCTTAAGGAAAGCCAACTCCAGCTATGTATTCTACGTAGCTGGAGTTGTGTACCTTAGACCAAGCTTCCTGGTCTAGAGTAGACTTGGCCTCAGAAATAATCCACATGGCCCTTGATGGCCTAGGACCTGGTAATACCCTGCTCTGAGACAGCTGTATGCCAATGGAATACAACAGCTGAGAGAGTCTAGGCTGGGATCCTTAAGAGCTGAAGTACAGGATTTCTCAGTGGAACCCTTATAGCGCCACAACTCCCGACTAGAGAAGGTTAGATTGAGCCCAAGTTGCACCATCATTGGAACACCATGCAATTTACACACTGTGGCAGAGCTCTAGCTGGGCCTTGGGGAGGGGTCCTATGCTTCCAAGGCTCGCTGCGGCTCTCCACATAGCCTCTTGCCCTTCACAGCCTACTGAGCCATCGTCGTCACAGGCCAGTCAAACGGTTCGGGGTGTGCCCCTCTTTAGTCCCAAACTCCCCCATCAGAGGTGGCCTTCACAGTGGTGCAGGGAGGTTGGGGGGAAAACACAGGCCTGCCCTCTGCTCTGGATACCAGCCCAGGGATGCTAATGGAAGTGGCGGCAGGTAGTAATTCCCCCACCACCAGAGATGCAGCTTTTCCGTGAGCCACTTCTCCAACCAACTCCTCCCAGAGCAAGTCCATCCCACTCCTCCACAGCACACTTCCTTGCTCCCAGTCCTTAGCTCCCCCAGCCCTCTCTGAAGGGAAGCCTTTTAAACCAGCCCCAGCCAGGCCTTAATGGGCCGCAGCTGTTTGATTAGCCTGTCTCTTAATTGCCTTTCAGGTTCCTGCCTACTTTAACTGCGCTGCAGCAGCCCCTACCTTGGTCACTCTGGCTACATCTACACCGCAGGTTTTTGCATTTCCTCTTCTGCAAAATGGAGCGCTCATTTGCATATCCCATGCTCTCATTTGCATATTCTCCTCCAATCCTTTTTGCGGACAAAGTTTTCGCTGTGTAGACGGCGCCGTTTAGCCAAACCCCCCCCTTTTGCGCAAGATCCCTTTTGTGCAAGAGCCCATAAACCTCATTTTTTGAGGAATAAGGTATCTTGCTCAAAAGGGTTTTTTCCGACAAATGGCCCCATCTACACAGGGCTTTTTCTCGCAAAAAACTCTTCCGCAAAAAGGATCCGAAGAAGATATGCAAATGAGAGCATGAGATATGCAAATGGAGTGCTCATTTGCATGTCCTCTTCCACAAAAACCCCACAGTATAGATGTAGCCTCAGGGAACAGAAAACTATTAACTCAGTGGCCAGTAAATCTACCTTCTATCAGACTCTGTCACAATATACTTATTTCCCAAACTTGGGAGGAGGAGAGAAAAGGGAGAGAGGTGTGTGTGCGTGTGTGTCCATTGTACATGTAGAGTTGACACCCAACCCCAGAACCCTTGAAAACACACACAAATTTTGGGATCAATGGAAGTTTAGCCCCAGGAACGAGCTTAGGATTTGGCCCAAGACACTATTAGGCTAACATGGAGCGACTTGGTCCATTGGGTTTTATGCATCAGAACACAATCCCATCCACTACTCACTTTCATTTTCTGTTGCATTACCTTAAAGAAAAGCTCACTGTAATCAGGTGTAACCCACACCCTTAGGGTGTGTCTAGACTACATGCCTCCGTCAATGGGGGCATGTAGATTAGACAGATAGGTAAAGGGAAATGAAGTGGCGATTTAAATAATCGCGGCTTCATTTAAATTTACATGGCTGCCGCACTGAGCCGACAAACAGCTGATCAGCTGTTTGT